GGTCAGCTGTAAAAGCTTGACAAAACTGAAAAGACCTTTCATTGCCTATAAACACATGCATACAACACATCACCGTATTTGTGTTTTTAGAAATTGAAGCATACAGATCAGGGGTATTGATTAAAATGTTTTGGCATCATTTTGATAAATTGGTCATTTTTGACAGACTGTGACACACCTGAGTGCATTTTACCTGTTGCATGTGCACTAAATTACCTCATTAGTAAAAGAGCTCTACATTAGTAACATTAGTGAAAACACAGGCCCCAGTGTGATTTGCTTAACAAGGAAACAGGAGCTTTGTGCCATCAACATGATGGGTGCTGGACTACGTCAGGGCAGCTCTGGGGTGGTGTACCAGATATAAAGTCTCTATGACACATCAGAGCCAAACACAGCCCGTCCCTGATAAACCAAGACCAGGGGAGACACAAGACACGATGCCTCACCAAGGCTGACAGGGAGATCCAGGTGTGACAACTCCCCAGATTATGTGTGGCATCGAAGACTCAGAGACTAGTGAAAAGATGGCCTGTTTGCTTCACTGGATTATTTGAGACATTGTCAATAGACGTACCACTGGTCAGAGAGCAGCCTTCAGACCCTGCAAGAAGAAAACGGGGCATCAAAGCCACTAAATCACCAGACTTGAGCCCTGTGATGAGCTGGCATGACATGTGGCATCTAGGGCTCTGAGACCAGTGAACAGGCACGTGCTTGTCCCAGCTGTATGAGAGGGCAGGACAGCACCTGTAACCTGGTGGAAAGCAAGCACTGCAGATGTACAGTCTGTATTGTTTCCAGAAGTCTGCTACAGAAATACAGCCATGCACACTACTAGTCTATAACTTTCTCAGTGCAGCCCCTGTTGATGACAAAAACTAATTATGAATTGATCTGTGTCCTGTTTGCTTAATACAACTGCAGTGCACCTGCTACAGAAGAACGTAATGTGTTGCAGTTAGAAGTAAACACCTCTTTTGGATGTTCAGTCTGGATAGCAAACGTGCTCCACTGTCAAAACGTCCCAGAGCACGTTTTCGTGGAAATGACTTTATGTCCCGTTTACCTCGCTGCCCGACACTCATTGGGCTGCCCTGGAGGGCGGAGAAGAGAAACAGGTCTGAGATAACAAAGTAGATGACAAACCGGGAAAGGGCTGAGAAGTGTGCAAACGGTTTAAACGCGGCGCTCAAAGTAATCGAAGATGAAAATCGATATTCATAATCACATATTACCGAAGGAATGGCCCAATCTGAAGGAGGTATGGTAAAAACAAGTTATTTCAAAACTTAAGAAAACGTGCATTGATCTTTGTAGTGTATATTTAAATGAGTATTTTAAAGAGTTATTATTTGCATGCGTGACATTGATTTGCGTTTAAATGTGTCCTGATTTTTTTAAATCAAAGCTGAAAATACTATTTATAAACTCTATCAAATACTATTTAGAAACTCTCTCTATAGGAAGGGTCTGATTGTTGTAAAAATCAAATGAAGGGCAACACGAGGTGTTCCGCAATGAAGAAGGGGCTTCGCTCAGTGCACCTGTACATACAGTATAACTACTCCTGGCTCGACTACAAGTATTTTCCGATAAGTAGTAACGTAGTCGATATACATTTTAACATTTGAGTGCGATTTGTCTCTCTCACAAATATTTAATCACAAATAAAACCACACTTAAAATCAGAGTCCCATGAAGGCTCCGTCACGTACAATCACAAATCAATGTTTGCTGATTTGCGATTATAGCGCATTATGAGTGCAAGTCTACTGTTTGCCAGCAGAATTGAGCCTATTCGCGGTTCAGATAGTAACAGAGGAAAAAAATGGGACAAAACCTCTCTTTGCAATGGCAATAAGGGAAAACGTTTGATTAAGGACATTAATTCTTTGGTGAAGCGATATGATGCATTTCAGGAATGCCTGTTATTGAACTACAAGGCGAAACAGATTTTGAATAAAAACTCATTGCTACAGTTTAAAACGTGAAGTTGCTTTTGTGTTTAAATATTAATAGTGGCACGATTGCGACCTTGAGTAGAAACGCGGAGTCATCGTATTCCGCGGCTGCCCTCGCAGGACTGTAGGTAATGATTATTCAGCAGTCAACAGGCAGCGGGAGACTGAAAGGGGTGTGGAGGCGACATTAATACCGCATGTTTCAGATCATGCTGTAATGCAAGCGCATGGCGAGTTCCGCTTAGCATGACACCCACAGCACTGCCAGAGTAATTATAAACACTTTTCGATCTGTTCTGCAGTTGTGTAACAATTCTCCAAGTTCTCATTCCTCCAGTTTCTGGTGAAAAGGGATTTTAAAGATCATATATGATAACGAGATTTCCTTTCATCTTTAGGGGAACCGCATTCGTAATCAAGCCTTCTCTTAAAAGACTTTTACTGTAATTTATTAACAAGCCTGGTATGTTTTATTGCACTCCTCAACGCTATGAGATCGCCTTTACCGTGACGTTTTTAATCGCTTGCGACCTTCACTTAGAGCAGTGATGCTGCGGCACTTCTTCGGCACCCCTTATCAAAAATAAAGTCACTTCGTTATACCCAAGATAAATCATACAGTAGCTGTAGCATGAAAGAGAGATAATGAGTTTAATATTGCAGTCAGATTAAAAATCCATGAAACATTACACACTTTTTTTGGAATTTAAATTCCGCAGTGAGATCAAGGATTAATGAGTAATTACGCACTTTTTTAGAGCTTACCTTAGGATATCTAGTAGTTGTACTTATGTGCCTGTGCTTAATTGGCGCTTTCATTGATTTACCTTCTAAACCAGCCAAGCCTGAGGCCTGTGGGCCTCCAGACTCAGAACCACTGTCTGGCACTGTTTTCAAGCGAAGCAGGCGTCAAAGGCAGCTCTGGTCGAGCCGGTAGAGGGCACTCTCTTTCCTAAACGGCACTTTTCGAGAACTTCACATTCCGGGTTGAACATTCTGGGTTGATAATGACTGTGGCTCCTGCTCTTGGTGTACAAAACTGTTTACCATTTGTTTCTGTACTGCCTCTTTGTATTAAAATACTTTTAAAGTTGACCCAGGTTTGGAAGTACTGTCAGTAAGACGAATAATGAGTGGGGCTTCAATAAGGCTGCACATTTGTTTCAGTGAACAATGAATTCAAGGCTCTCTTTATTCCACAGCGGTACGGCTATGATGGATGGGTTCAACTGCACCACCACTGCAAAGTAAGTTTTTTTTTTTGGGGGGGGAGGGGGGCTCTGACCACCTAGGAGTTTTTTGGGAAAAAAATGTGTTAAGATGGTCACAGCTCAGAAAACAAGGAATGGACCCCATGAGTCACAAAAATCCTAAAACAATACATTAGGGAGGTCCAAGGCCATGGTCATGAGGCAAGCAAAAGTCCAAAGCCAGAAGACAAAATCAGTGTCAAGCGCCACAGACCAGACCAAAAGCCGAGGTCAGGAAAAAGGCCGAAATCCAAAAGTCAGGCAAGACCACAAACTCAATGTATTGCAAACAATACTACACACAACTTGAACACAGAGCAGGGTTTAAATAGGTCTGGGAGGGGAGGTGTGGTGTGGCAGGGACACTGGGCAGGCAGGGATTGGCTACTGCCATCTGCTTGATCTGCTGCGCAGATGAGGTAGGCACTCGTAGTGGGGGCGCCCTCTGGTGGCGGGATGCCGGGACTGTAACAATAATGCCTGTGAAATAAAACGCCACCAATACTGTGCAGCATGTCCCTGTTCCATTCCGCGGATATATGACCCTTTGAAAAAGCTGACCCATGAAATCTCTAACAGGGTATGAGGGACCAGGTCAAGAGGACTGGTCAGCTGATATGGACTGACCACCTCTTCTAAAAAAAAAGCTTTAAAACTACAGCAGATTCATGTGTACAACTCTACCGTACAGTGTAGTTTAAATAATTTCATAATAATACCTAAGACCTTTTATACTCATTTTATATTTCACTTTATATTCAAAACCCTAAGTAAATCTCAAATGTCACATAGGATGAGGAGGATGTGGGGAACAGTCACACCTGTCATGTTCGCACTAAAGTGGGAGATTGCACTAGACTGCACCTTGTTTTCTAAAAACACACACTCGGACAACATCCGTTTCAATGTTTTGTTTCTTTATTCCGTCATGTATGTTTCCCTGAGAATGTGATTGTGTTAAGTGAAAAGGCCCTTTCCCGCCGTGCACTGCAGTATTCCATCGCAGGCTCACAAGCCCCGGCTCGCCGACTGCAGCCCTGCCTGTGCGCTGTGGGCGGTGAACAGCTCAGTCTAATGACCACAATACCTCCAAGCGCACAGCCGAGGGCTGCAGGGGCAGTGAGAAACACGCTCCCTAGGGCAAGAGCACACCGCTCCCATCGGACCGCAGCACGGACTTCAGGTTCCGACAACGCTATTTTCAGACTTATTAAAAATGCATTATCGCATTAGTGCGACTGCGGGACAGCACCGCGGCGATGAGCGAAGACGTGCAAACACACGAAGCGAGCCTCGGGGACTTTCCTGCTCTCCGGCTTGAGGACGGGGGCCGGGCTCGGTTCTGCGTGCGTCAGGGGAGCGCGGCGGGACAGACGGTACCTGGGCCCCGGTACCTGCGCCTTGCCTTTCGCGTCAGCATGAAAGAGCGCTGCTTAATCTCTCAGACACCGGGTGAAGCTGCGGTTCAGTGCGCAGAAGACCCGTCTCAGGAGCCCGCCCGAGCTCGCGTGTCTACAGCGTGGGAGACTTCGCGAAATACAATACCGGTGACGGCCAACTGTACCCTGTCCAACCGCAGTGTGGGCTTCAAATCCATTTTCTCTTCGTCGGAGTTCACAAAACACTTAGAATGCATTTTGAAAATATATAATGTAGCAAAAACAACGCCGAGGGTGAATCGCTATTAAAGTTATTCTTGTCACTGCTAAGTGTTCTGATGAGTCTTCTTTTACTGTATTCCAGTTTGAATAAGGTATACATGATTATTGAGGCGATGAACAGCATGTAGCACTCTCGGGTTAACGTGGGTATGCGCCCTCACCTTAGCTTGGCCCCCCATCGCTGGGGACTCGGACCCGGGCCTTCAGCCTTATTCATAAGGAACCAGCCAGTTGAGCTAAAGGGAGATCTCCCTTCGGCCCAGCGGCTGAGGTCCCTGCTGTTCACAGGGAAGGGCGGTGAAGTCACCGCGCTGGTAAGCCAGCTCACACAACCTCTGATGTCCGCCGTATGCGTTACAATATATTTTATGTACCTGTCAAAGCAAAGAAAATCTCTGTCTTCACGAAATAGCATGTAAACGTCTGAGATGATCTTTATGTAACTAGTTTCTATATTTGTTTCGATATTTTTAACGGATTGGTTCTTAATTTCAGGTCTTCTGGCAAACTTGTCAGAAGAACTCTATAGCCTGCCACCAGGTGGCATGATGAAATTACTGCAGAATGAAAGTAAGCGTCTGGTTAAATTTAGGTTATTATATGACTGCGTACACGCTCATTGTTATTTCATTTCATGGCGATGCCCCGTTTTCCCTGCCATTAACCTAAGTGCGAAACAGTTATTTTCAGAACAAAATATTCCGTTTATTTTTATAGAGTCGTAAAACAGGATGTCGATACACTTCATCTGCGCTGCTCTCTCTGGTTTGACCTCAGGGAGAAGCTAAAATGATGAAAGATGGGAAAGTGTTCCGCGTGGTGCAGGAGAACTGCTGGGATCCAGCAGTACGCATCCGAGATATGGATAAGTATGGTACTTTCCCTTCAAACTCCTACCGTGGTGTTCAGAAACAATACTGTGCAGTCTCTATGCCAATACAACAAATGCACATACGTGGAAATACTTGGAAATAGATAGATAAGACTTTATTGATCCCAAAGGGAATTTGATGTAAATGATGTAAATGAAAATGAAATGAATTAAATAAATGAATGAAAAGGATGTAAATGAAATGTCATGTCTGCTCACTGGAGATCGCTTTCAGCTCCTGGACAACTGGAAATGTGAGCCTAATGATATGAATATAAAGAAAATATATTTAAAAAAAAACAAAAACAAGAAGAAATGTAAGTTACGAGCGCGTTGTTGCTGTGTTTCAGGAGTAACTGTGCAGGTCCTCTCCACCGTCCCCATCATGTTCAGTTACTGGGTAAGACGCTTCTTCAAATACAGCACAGCGTTAACAATCCTCACTTATCAACCAGGCCCTGTTAGGAAATTCTGGCTCCTTCAATTTATACGATGCAATCTGGCCGTTTTCGGATTGATGAGAACGAGAGGCTTGCAATTTAGAGAATAATAATAATTTTCTATGCCATTGGGCCCTTTTATCCCTTTGATAGGAAGCAGCTAATTCATCCAAAGACCTCCTTGTGCTTTTTCTTCAAGGAGGCCAGGGTATCGGCTTTGGCCACATGGCTGTGTAGCTTTTTCCTCAGCTTTGAGATTTGCTATAATGTAGGGAATAAAAAAACAAAATTACACCACTGCCTCACTAAATCACAAGAGTGCAGGTAGAGTTGATGTGACTACGCTCATAAAGCACTGTCACCACACACACGCGTGCGCGAGGGGGCAAAATCATATTTTTTTAAAACAGATGTTACCTTTGAAAATTTGTATTAGCTGTGTTCATTGCTGAATGGTCAGAATACCCTACTGATCATCTGAGAAAACGTCAGAAACTTTCAAAGGCATTGAGTGCACACATGAGTCCAAATCATAGCATAGAAAACTCACCTGGTCAATCTCTCTCAAAGCACAATGAGTAATACATTCTGAATACAAACCAGATCACATTTACACACTAATACACCAGTTCGGTATTCTAGCTGAGGAATTCGGCACGTGGATCGCCTGAGCTCTTCTCGTTTCTCGTGATGTGTCATCAGGCCAAGCCTCACGACGCCCTGGATCTCTGCCACATTCTGAACGACGACCTGGCAGCCACAGTGCGCCAGCGCCCGCGGCGGTTCGTGGGCCTGGGGACTCTGCCCATGCAGGCCCCGGACCTGGCCGTGCAGGAGCTGCGGCGCTGTGTGCTGGAGCTGGGGTTCCCCGGCGTGCAGCTGGGCTCCCACGTCAACCGCTGGGACCTGAGCGCGCCCGAGCTCGGCCCAGTCTACGCAGTAAGGGCCGCACCGCCGCCCGAGACTGAACATCTGAACAGCGTCTCCAACCTTCACAACTGAAATGCCCTGAAACTGAAAAGCAATGCCTTGTACAATGATAATCAAGTCCTTCTACACAGCGCCTTCCAGCCCAAAGCATCACAAAACACTTTGCCTGTTGCGCAGGCCCCACCTGTGAGACGCACAGCAGCCCAGCCACAAAGCCAGTCAGGGGAGGAGAGAAACCGCTGCACCAAGAGAACTAGGGGAGCTAGAGAGAGGCTAGTGCATGCCCAGAGTGGAAACCAGCCAGGACACCAACGTTAACAGCCCTACACTTACTTTTATTACACTTTCATTATGGTATATTTTACATACTGTAGGTCTGAGCACATCTTCGTGGGCAAAACAAACGTGCATGTCAGTAGCCTTCTGTCTGGGAAGCGTGGCAGGATACTGGTTCGAACAGCTGCTTGGCAGTTAGCTCCTGGGACCTGGGCTCGGTTCTGAACTGGAGTGCCTGTCTGTGTGGAGTTTGCATGTGTTTGACTGGCTACCCTGAGAGTTAATGAAAAGGGATGGTCTTCCTATCCCATTGCCCAGACATGAATGGAGAGGTCTGGCTGCAGCCCTCCTGCTGGTCCCTGACCTCGGGATCTGTGGTTTCACTGTTCTTTGTGCAGGCTGCTGAAGAGCTGAACTGCTCCTTATTCATTCATCCCTGGGACATGCAAACTGATGGAAGGATGTCTAAATACTGGCTCCCCTGGCTGGTGGGTTAGTATGATGTGTTTAATGTATGTTCAGCTTGCTGGTGTGAAACAGCACTGATATTGCACCATCAGCGTCTTTTAGCACTTAGACTATAGAGTGTTTAAACACCTTCCACTATTCTGTGTTGGAAGTATATCTCTGCAGTGGTTATCTGCACCAGAAGCCAGTTCGGCTGATACTGCTAGAAGATGACAGAATGGTTGTGAACCAGAGGAGGCCAAGCTGGCCCTTCTAGCTCATCTGGTTTATTGTAGCGAATTGATTTAAGGATCTCATCCAGCTGTTTCCTGAAAGAGGAGGGGCTATCGGCTTCAACATAATGGCTGAGCAGCATACTCCCACAACCCTTTGGGTAAAGAAGAGCTTCCTGTTCTCAGTTTTAAATTGACTTTCTCATAGTTTCCACTTGTGTCCTCTGGTTTGTGTCTCACGTGTTCAATCTGGAGAAGTCTACACAGCTGACTTTGAGGACTGTATGTACTGGTCTCCTCACACACTTCTCTGTTCAAGACTAAAAATACCCAGTGTCTTTGGCCGTTTAGAGTAAGACATGCCTTTAAACTTAGTATTGTTTTGGTTACTTACCTCTGGATTGATTCCAGATGTTTTTTACCTTCAGGAATGCCAGCAGAGACCACAACAGCTATCTGCTCCATGATCTTTGGGGGCGTATTTGAGAAATTTCCCAAGCTTAAAGTCTGTTTTGCTCATGGAGGTAAAGTTACCCTTACGCAAATATACTTTGAGAACAAATATACTGTGAGAAAGAAGCAGAGCCATTGTAACAGAATGGTGCACACACAAAGCAGTCTGTGTAATCTAAAGTATGTAATAATACTATCTGTTATTTAGCAGATACTATATGTTTAAAAAGCATACAAATACAACATGTCTGTAGAAAATGCTGTCTGACATAATTTCGTACTGAAGAGATTAAATATAAACAGGATATTTCAAAATTTAGGAGGATCCTTCCCCTACACAATTGGACGAATTGAGCACGGATTTAAAGTTCGTCCAGATCTGTGTGCCGTAGATAACAACATCAATCCCAGGAAATATCTTGACTCGTTTTATACGGATTCCCTTGTCCATGACCCTCAGGCACTGAAGCTTCTTCTTGAAGTGGTTGGAAAGGTAGGAGGGTTTTACTTTCCAGACACAGAGCACAGCACTGTGAATAGTATAAACTGTAATATATAAATATATTTAACAGTACATCAATGCAACCTAAAAGATAACCAAGTTTAAGTATTGCACACACTACAAGTGATCTGTTTTTCTGGCCTGTTTGTTAGCAATGATAAATGTCAGCACTGTAGCTAGGAAACGGTTTTATAAAAATTCTTCTTCTTTGTTGAAGGATAAGGTCATGCTTGGTACAGACTACCCATTTCCCCTGGGAGAACTTGAGCCAGGATCTCTGATAGAATCAATGAGTGAATTTGACTGCGTGTTAAAGGTGAATTCAGTTTAAAATGTAACTGATTTTGTTCCTCAGCTTCTTGGAATATTATCTTTAATGTCATGACTTTCCCCAGAGTAAACCACAGCCCGCCATGATCTATCTTCTTGCCTGAAAAAAAAGGGTTTTCTTTCCTGTAAAAGCTACACAAATCCTTAAACCATGCAAAAATTCCAGCTCAAGCCCACCACAGCCATGACTCTTATGCTGTATAGACTGTAACCCTAGCTCAATCCTAAAACAAACTCTTACCATCCAGAGCCAATCTTAAACTTAACTTTCATCACATCCTAATCTGAAAACCTGCCTTAATATGATCTACACACCTTACCTGCGTTCTAAACTCACCCAAAGCTTTAAAAATCTCATCTGGTTCCCCACTGAATCCCACAAACAACTACACAAAGTAAATCAAAAATGGACTCCCTGACAAAAGCACACAGGAACAAGTAAAGGATTATTCCATGCAGAAAAGAAAAGTTCCTTTGCAAGTTCCTTGTTCCTTTGCAGCCTACCTGTATGCATGCTGACACAGCTCCCTACTTGAACTACTTCAAAAGCACACAGGTCCAAAAGGCACAGGGCAGACATAAAGATACGTTTCCAATGACTGTTTGATTATCTCTTGCATCTATTCCTTATAAAACAATGCTTAATGATCTGTAATGTTTAGTCTTTTCATGTTTTCTTTATAAAGTCATCATTTGTTTTAAAAAATAATTAATTATCTTACTTTAATAAATGAAGCTTACATATCTCCAATATTCATTCTTTTCATGTTTTCTTTACTGAGACAATTTGTTTTAAAATATCATTGACTGTTAATTAATTCTTAGTCTTTCAATAATAAACTAGGCTTGTTTTATGTCTTTTATGCAATGTATCATTTGTTTTAAAAATAATTAATGCTAGATGTCTGCATATTTTAATTGATAGATGCTGCTCAAGGATGTGTAATTGTTTTAGAATGTGTTTTTGTCAGGTTACTTCAATAATGTTTCTACAACTGAAGTAGCTTATCCCCTCTCGTATTAGTCTAGCTGTGTGGGGTCTTCAGGACAAAAGGCGTTAAATATACAGAACACAGCGAAGGGGTCTCCAGCAGGGGTGTCCAGTCCTGTTCCTGGGAGGCTGGTGAATCGGCTGGTTTTTGGTCCAGGCCAGCTCTTAGCGAGACAAGCTGGTTCTGGGCTTAACAGGAACCATTTCACAGCGTCTCCCAGCTCTGCAGGTGGTGTTGCTTTAAAGAGACCTAGCAAGCCTGCAGACACACCAGCCCCAAAGGACCAGCACCGGACCCCTACTCTATTTTTGTTTAACAATTTGCTTACTTTGCGTCTGTGTGCTTTCTGTATTTCAGGATAAACTTTTAGCAGAGAACGCTCTGGAGTTTTTGGGCCTTCATAGAAGCCAGTTTGAGTGATCCCAAAGACACCTGATTATTACATGATGAGATTACAACCTAAATTTCTAATCACCAGAGTGATTCATACTGAAGATCTATAGAACTGTATGGAAATTAATTTAATTAACTGTATTTCTCTATCTGATAGCTGTTAAACGGCACATAATAAAAAATAACATTTTGGTTCTACTAGAAGACATCTCTTCTCTTCCAACTGATGTACTTGTACCACACGAATAAGCAATTAATGTGAAAAAAAAAACACTGTAGGTTTTTCATACAAAAATAAATCTTCCACAATGCACTGCCCGCTTTTCTTCAACGTTTTTTTTATTTTATCCGTTCTTGTGTGTTTTGTGTAGTTCTCCTTTCATCCACTTGAGGGAGGTGACGAATAATGTACTGTACTTTAAAAACGACAACACTTTCCTTGTTGCAGCCTCATGTGCGTGCGCTGGAGTTGTATGTACTTGAATCGTCGATATCTGAGAACAGAAGAGATTTGTTTTGTCATTTACAATTTGTTAGTCCGAAATTTTAAGCATAGACTCTTCTACAAAAGCAGTATTAATCGTATCTGTATTGGAACTGTTACAGCACTCCAAAGGTAAGAAGTTATTGCTCCAGTTTTGACTTACAAACGGGTGTGAAGTTAAAAATATTTCCAATTAAACGTTGCCATTATGTATTAGGTACTGAAGCGATTGCGTTTCTCTAGTTACACTAGTTCTCTAGAGAAAAAAAAACAATACAAATGTGCAGACTTATACAAGTGGAAGTGCAGTTCTTCCTTATATTAGGCTACTATTTTTATTTTACGTTAAATATCTCTTCGCATTCGGTATTAAATAAACCGATTTGTTGAAAGGAGACTCCGTGCTTCTTTTTAGACAATCTAGCGAAAAACACAGCAGTCGTTTGAGGTCCTTGACTACATTTCCCATGAGCCCACGGGCGCGGGGGAGCGTTTCCGGCGCGGGTGACGCAGTAAGTTCCGCGCTGGGCGGCGTGCCGCTCCTCTGTTCCTGTGTGATGCTGGAGCGATGGCGGCGTGCCGGGGCTCCACTTCGAGATGGTTTTTCACCCGGGAGCAGCTGGAAGCCACGCCGTCCCGCCGCTGTGGAGTCGAGCCGGACAAGGAGCTGTCCTACCGACAACAAGCGGCTAACCTTATTCAAGATATGGGCCAGAGACTCAACGTGTATCCTTTTCTTGTGCACGTCTGAGCTGCATCAGACCCGCCGACGAGGGGCCTGTAGGCTTCGGCAGAGATGGCGCTCTTGTAGGCCCCTCTTTTCCTCTGTGGTGGGTGGTGGGTGGTGGGTGGCTGGGTGGGGGCTGCGGCCCGGCTTTTAAAGTGCTAAAACTTCGCCGTTACGCGTCTGGGGGATGGCGATGTGCGTGTTCGCGGGTTTGCTGATCACCCTGCGGCTCAGGGGTTGCGGGGTTTCCGAGCCGCTGTGCTGAAACCGGTCCGGTCTCGGCTCCGCTGCTGCCCGGCCTGGGGCTGGCTGATAACCCCGCGCCGGGGCCCACGCACGTCAGCCTCGGTTGTCCGCCGTGGACGAGTCCGGAGTCGCGTTTCTGCGCGGCGGGGGGCTGATCGCCCTGCGGGCCGGGCGGTGTGCAGGGGACAGCGGCGCGGCGCCGGGCTGAAGGAGCTTGATCTCTGTCGCGCTCGTTCAGCCCCGAGCTGCCGCTGCAGGCCGGCCCTTGTTTGCATTGCAGCCTTGTTTCGGGGGCACCGGGAGGGAAATGAAACGAGTTAACGTTAGCAGCGTCGAGTGGGAACCTTATTAGTAATCCCTGACGCGCGATAACCTTCCCAATTCGTGTTTGATGGCGTTTTGTTTTTGGGGAGGGGGGCAGGGCCGTGCTGATGAGGTTTACCGTTGTCCCAGGCCGTGTTCCCCCACGCCAATAATGGAGTATCAGTGGCTGCGACGGTGCGATTTGCTCTTACCTCTTTTCTGTCGTGTTATTTTGGGGGAAGGGGGCTCTTTTGGTTGATGTTTTTTTTATGGCTTTGTTAGTGACTCGAAGGGATCAAGAGCAAGTGACGAGGGTCAATCGATAACCAAAGCAAAATCGCGTCCTCCTGGAGAAGGAGACGGGGGATACCGTGTTTTGTGTCTTTAACGATGAAGAGCCTTACCTCGACTGACCGTTCTCCTTAACCGCAGTGTCCAGCTCCCAGCTGACGATAAACACTGCAATCGTTTACATGCATAGGTTTTATATGTACCATTCTTTCACGAAGTTCCACAGAAATGTAAGTATTTTCGAGTTTCTCTACTGTCTTCTGCAATTAATTAAATCTGTGAATTGTTCGACGTAGAAGTACGATATCCTGTGGCAGAAACATGCCAGATGTAGTTCAGCGGTTGGTGTGGCTTTCCCCGTGTGACCTTAAGGGTCTTTGATACGGGAGTCTTCAGCAAAGGCATGACCTGCCCTTGTTTTTATTCTGGTACCTTGAGTGGACAGTAAGACTAACGGGCCTGATGAATAATGGTAAAGACAAGTAGTTCCGCATAGTCTGCAAAGGAACAAGTAAAGGGTTTATTCCATGCTGAAGAGAGAAACCACAACGTTTCGGCTGTGAAGCCTTCTTCAGGTGTGAAGAAGGCTGAAGAAGACTTCACAGTCGAAACGTTGTGGTTTCTCTCTTCTCTCTTCAGCAGAGGTTTATTCCATTATTTGTTCCATAGTAAAGTAGCCTTCGTTCAGGATGGGGGAAAATGCCACTTAACATAACTGGTATCCAGCCCCCCCTCACTGGAGCCGAGGAGGAGAGGCAGATGGTCTCCACAATAGAAAGGTCTTCTTCTGCAGCCCAGCTGGCTCTTATCAGCCATGTTCTTTTGTACGGGACCGGTAGAGATTCTTCTGTCCCGGGTGGGGGGGGGGGAATTAGGCTGATTTAGTTAAAAGTTGTGATGACAGTAACGATTCAAAGGACCCTCCCCCTCTCCCCGGAGTGTGTTAATTGGCTGGCCTCTCGTCAGTGTGGCTGCTGTTGTGTGTTGCAGATCACTTCTCCAACGACGTTATTCTTGGCTGCCAAAGTTGAGGAGCAGCCGCGTAAACTTGAACATGTCATCAAAGTAGCACATGCCTGCTTAAATCCTCAAGAGGCACAGCTCGATATAAAGAGTGATGTAAGTATGACCACGCCTCTGCCTTTTCTATGCACCCCTGAGGCACTGTTAACAGACTGATCGCAGAATGTTTCGATGTTGTTAGGTGCTGTCCTTGGGGTTTCACCCTGGTTTAAGGCTACTTCAGTGAAAACTGCTTTTAGGAAGTCTCATTTGGTTTACATTGTTTTCCTGGGCATTGTCTGATTCTATTGATTTTCCTTTTGAACTGCTAAAAACTGTTGCAGCATAAAGTGTCTCTCAAAACCCCAAAATATAAGGATGCCCTGATGTTTTATTTGATTTCGTTGATTTTTAATTGGCCCCAGCATTATTTATTCAAATTTTAAAGCAACGAGTGCAAACCTGGTTAATGAGACTTCATATTGTGACAGTTTTAAGAAGGCTTGTTGAGACGCATTACAGGACTGATGTAATGACTGTCTGTTGAACTTCAGGCATACCTCCAGCAAGCTCAAGAGCTGGTGATACTTGAAACCATAGTGCTGCAGACTTTAGGTAAGTGAAGACTGAACACTGAGACTGTTCAGTAGTGGAGCATAATGTGTTTTCCTTTGCTTATGTGCTCATGTTAATGGTACAGTTAGTTTCATTTGTACCTGCTAACAGCTGTACACACAAATATTGGGCTCTCCATGTCCAGCAGCATTGTTTACAATTTTAAATGTAATGTGATTACTTACTTGACAGTAATAACTCTCCACTTTTCTTTGAATTCTTTTCTTCTGGCAAAGACACAAGGTGTGAAAACATTCTGTGACTGTTTATTGAGACACTGTACAATAAATTTGCACAGTGAACCACTTCTTTTGATATCGGTTACGCATTTCTTTAGAAATTGTTTCTGACGTGTATTTCTGGGATTTGCAAGGTCTTCAGTGTGTACATTTTGCACAGCATGTAGTGCGAGTCTTGATTATCTGTTATTAATCAGATTTCTTTTTTTTTTTTGCAGGTTTTGAAATAACAATTGAACATCCTCATACTGATGTTGTGAAATGTTCCCAGCTAGTGAGAGGTATACGCTTTCTGTTCCCACACACACACATTTAATACAAATGAAAACGAGCCGAACGTGTTAGCATGTTGACCGTTCGCTCCACGTGGTTTGAAAGTTTCCGAGTAGGCAGGTTGTCAGACTTGTGATGTTACCCGTGCGAAGCTATCGCAAGCGCAGTCTGAGCTGCCGAATAGCCGTGCAACTGCTGGTCAGATATTTGTTCCACTGTGAGTGGAGTAATCAAATCTTTTTTTTCTCTCTTTTGCAGCAAGCAAGGATTTGGCACAGACTTCCTATTTCATGGCTACCAACAGGTTGTTATCCTGACCCTCTTTGTTGCACTGTAATAGCACACTATGGCTTCCTATACTGCAGGGCCCCCTGTCTGTGCCTGTTGCCCTTCTTGCGCCAGGGCACTGGGGCGCCTCTTGTGGCGGCCCCTCCCTGGTCGCAGTGCGGTGTATTGTACAAGGGTCAGTGTCGGCACTGAGGGGTTAAATGCACGATGAGAAGTGTAGTGGTGCTTTTTACTCACGTTTGCTCGGTACAGAGTGCATATGTCTAAAGACAAAATTGGTAGCCTGAATAGCAGCTAAAGATTACAAAGATGTAAACTTAACCTAGAAAGCTCAGTCATCCTGGTAAGTACAAAGACCTTTTAAGTTCTTGTTGCATTTTTTAAATGATTTTAAAACTAAAAAAAAAAAATTAAAATGATCGTTTTAGATTGTAATGTTAATGTAATATATCTATAATTTTAAAATCTATAATTATAAAATCATAGTTGTAAATCTAAATTCATTGTAATGCACCATAATTGAATTTATGTAATGGATGTTTTCTTATGTTAATAATTTCCCCCTTTTTATTTGGGTGCTGATGTACTGTATAAGTGTTCTTTAAATCCTTAAATGTTTTTTTTCCAGAATTTTTCCTTTTTCCCTTGTCAGCAATGCACAATGTCTGGACAGTGACTCTGGCTCTTTTTTGCCTTTTTTTTTGTAACATTATAACGTTATTTGACCCCTTTTAAAGATTGGAATAAGGGGATGTTCTAGTCTGAGTGGGCTTGCAGAAAATTACAAATGCATTACATAAAATATGCATTTAACGGTTACAGGATTCTGGAGCTTATGCTACATTTCGTCCAAATAAGTCTTACAATCGACACAAGGACATGTCCACACAAAGCGATCTAAAAAAAGCACTTGCATTCACCAGCTGAGAGTTGATTCAGATTTGATCTGGACCCATTCGGGGTCCTGGAAGACCTGCGGTTCTGCTGCTGTGAGTGCTCTGCACTTCCAGGTGTGCAGCTTCAGAGAGCCGAGTTCCGTCTGGGGTTGGGCACTCATGCTGCTTTCGTGGACAGGCGATGGTGGAGAACTGGCTTATAACGCACAGGATTTTGCTTTTGTTGGTGTGCCAATGAAAAGGCAGCGAAGAAGCATTGCTTCTTCACTAGAAAGCCACAGTTAACAGTCTTGGCACAGTTTCGGAGTACAGCAGTGGGTTACTCTGTTAACCTGTAGGTCAAAACGATAGTGCTGTCACTCTAACCATGTTGATCTTCAGTTGTTTTTTTTTTCCTCAAGTCTCATCTCCAGGCATTGTTACATTCTGAATGGGAATTAAGGTTACCATCCATCTGTTATCACGAGAAACACTTTCATTTAACACAGGATGACGTTTTGGTAAAAAAAAAGGTCCAAAATATGCACGGAAGCCAGATTTGTTAAGTATTTAAGGTTGCACACGTGTCTTTTCTAAAGGATCCAGTTTCTTGATTGAAACAGTGGTTTGTGTAGGCAGGGTACAGTCCATTCCAGTCAGATGTTTATTTGGGCTGATTCTTGATGTGATCCTCCTTGAAAGCCGCCCTTATTTTGTTACCTCCAGTTGTGGGAAAAGGCCGTGTTGCGTCTGTGGAGCCTTCGTGTGTGAGAATCTTACTTAGGATGTTACTGCTGTATGAGGTGTACAAAAGCGGCCGGCTAACAGTTTAAAAAGACATGGAGCTGGTTGAATTGAAGTCATTTTAATTACAGAAGAACCCCTGTATGTGAGGGGAGTCTGTAAAGACAACATGGGAAAACGTGTGTGTGTATTGCACCACTGCACAGAATTAGCCCAACATATTGTCAAAAAGCTCGACATTTCCTTCCGCCATTTCTAATGACAACATGTGGATGGTAACCAAATGTTCTGATATGTTCAGTGTTTTTCTTTATGTATTCAGTTGGAATTTCAAAGTAACCTGTTTCACTCCACTTCCTCCAGCCAGCACAATTAACTGAAGCTTATACAAAAACATTGTTATATTTTTTCAGCAGGGCATATTAGCATCTCATGTCTCTGCCAGAGTAAAAAAATAAATAAAATGGATTTATTTCTGTATGTTGTCAGTGTTTCTGGCTGTGTATCGGTCAGACTGTTTTGTTTCTTCTTTAGATGAGTTTTTTTTGTTGCTGCTGCATTAATGTTCCCCTTTCTTTTTTTCCTCTCTTTCCTTCTCTTGCATGTGTGGATGTGGAACCTGAATTTTCAACAACAGCCTGCACCTAACTACTTTCTGTCTTCAGTACAAGCCGACTGTGATAGCGTGTGTGTGCATTCATTTGGCTTGTAAATGGTCCAACTGGGAGATCCCTGTATCCACAGATGGAAAACATTGGTGGGAATATGTGGACAAAACTGTCACGCTAGAACTGCTTGATGGTATGTGCTGTGTAGTACTTTTGGGAGTTAGATTTGCACACTGGTGTTATGTTTTATACTGTGATGCTTTAAAGTAACAATTTCTATTTTTTTAACAGTTTAGAGGATTTTGTCCCCTACAAGCAATCATGTTGTAAATTCCAATAACTTGCATGATTTTTTCCTTGTACTGGACAGTACTTGGGTTTGTGGGAAAGTTACTGAATGAGTTAACGAAAAGTGGCAGCTCTTGGCAGCGGTTTTGGAAATGGCTGAAATGGCCTGATTTTAGTTCTGGAAAGTGCTGTCTCACTTGTTGGAGTTGTCCCCCTTCTGCTTTTCTTCTGCAGAGCTGACACATGAGTTTCTGCAGATACTGGAGAAGACGCCCAGCAGACTGAAGAGGATTAGAAACTGGAGGGTAAGTCAGTGGCAGGTGGAGATTTTCTGAAAGCAAGTGACTCTCGGGAACCAGCTCATACACTATTAATCACGCTATAGTTGTACCACAGATACAGTGTGCCAGCTAGGCACTTCATCTTTTTGTCAGTGAGTATTTCAAATAAAACACTTTCTTTTCACTTTCTTTCCACATTGAATTCTTCTCACAGGACTGTAAATTGTCCCAAATTAATTCGAACCCCGTCCTTGTTGCAAGTGGGTTACTTTAAATGCAGACCCCTCGGTGCATTGAAAATCTCTCATTTGCCTTCTCTTCCTACAGGCCAATCAGGCTGCCAAGAAACCCAGGAGCGAAGGCCAGGCGGCCGACAGCTCTTTTCCGAGTCCTTCCTTGGCTCAGAATCCGTCTTTGGTGGACAGTATTGCTGGAGTGTCCGCAAACGCGACGTTCCCCAAAGCATCCACCTCGGCGTCCTTCCCGGTTCCCCTGCCCTCGAACGCCGGGGCAGGGGGCGCTCCCATGCAGGCCGGCCACTCCCTTGACACCATGGCGGCAGTGACGTCAAGCATGCAGAGCGCCTCGTACAACTTCACCGCCCCCAACGACTGGCCGCAGCACCAGGATCAGAGTAGGCCCGAGGTGTACACTCTCAAACAGGAGGTGCTGAGTATGCAGCCTGGGGCCTCTGGGCAGCTGCATCCTGCCCTCCATCACCGGCCGGACAAGAGCGCCGACTTCCCCACGAACAAACACGAACACAAGTCGGGCGGCGGCAAGCACCCCCCCCAGATCTACACCCCGCCCGTCGCTACCCCCCAGAAAATGTCTTTGGACAAGTACCGGGAGAAGCAGGCTGCGGAGTTCGCGATACAGAAGCGGAAGCTGGAGGGCCTCGAAACGGAAGCCAGGGACTCCTACGTGCCGGCAGCCCAGGCGCTGGCGGACCAGCAGCACCACAAGAAGCACGCCCAGCCGCCGCAGAACCCGGGCTGCAGCTCCGTGGCGTCCCCCATCAAAATGAAGATCCCCCTCGCGAACTCCGACAAGCCCGACAAGCACGGGGCGGAGAAGAAGGACAAGGGCTGCTCCCTGAAGCTGCGGATCCCCATCCTGCCCACGGAGAAGCCGGCCAGCAAGGAGGAGCTGAAGATGAAAATCAAGGTCTCCTCGGAGAGGCACAGCTCCTCCGACGAGGGCAGCGGGAAGAGCAAACATTCCAGCCCGCACGTCGGCAAGGAGCACAAGGAGAAGCACAGGGACCATTCCTCCCACCGCCACCACGGCGGCGGCGGCCACAAGCATTCCCACTCGCATTCCCACTTGCACGGCGGCGGCGTCAAGGCGGGGGCCGATGGCGTGGCGGCCGCGGCCCTGGCGCTGCGGAGCCCGGTAGGTCTTAGCGGCGAAGCGGGCATCCCCGGCTCCAGCTCTTCCCGGAAGAGGCCGCACCCCGACGTCAGTCACAACCACCACTCCAAAATGAGCAAAAGTTCCAAAAGTTCAGGTAGTTCCTCTCATTCTTCCTCTGTAAAGCAGTATGTATCGTCTCACAGCTCTGTTCTTAACCTGCCCTTCCCCCCTCCTCCCCCTGTCACATACCAGGTGGGCTACGGACATCTCAGCACCCTAGTGAAACTGGACAAGAAACCAGTGGAGACCAACGGCCCTGATGCCAACCATGAATTCAATGCAAACAGCCAGCACATGGACTACAAAGACACATTCGACATGCTCGATTCGCTGTTAAGTGCCCAAGGAATGAACATGTAATCTAGGAGGAGGAAGAGGAGTGGCAAAAAAACAGCTTAGGTCTTGTGTTCAAAAAAAAAAGAAAAAGGAAAAAAATGCTTCCTGATTTTTTTTTTTAGGCAGTGTGACTCGATCCTGTCCGTTTCAATTTAACATAATTGCTGCTTCGTCCTCCACACTCTGGAAAAAATAGTGTAAATGAGTTTTATCTCCACACGTGAATACTATTATAAATACTGTATAAGCATGAAAGGTGCAATTTTTTCTTAAATAATTTAACAGTATTTCCACGACTGTAAACTTCACACAGGAGTATGGCTGCTTCCGAAATAAGGTGCCTTGTGCAATGAAGGCATGATTTAACACTGCAGCCGAGAAAAATGGGTTTGTAGTCGCTTAGCTTTTGAGTGAGTGTCGTTTCCTTTTTTTTATATCTTTATACGGTATGTATGAGTTGCATGTTTCAGTCATAAAGGGATAAAACAATGATGACAACTGTTTACAGAAAGTGGAGATAAATGTACATACATTTTTGTATGTTAAGCTATACCATAAATACTCAGGTTTGGAGCTGCTTGTAAGTATAACTATAAATATATATAAAAGACTTACTTGTAACTTGTGTCAGAGTCCATCAGTGATTCAGACGGCAGCATTCCAGCTACTTTGAACTTGTAAGCTGCATGCCTGCCAGGTGGGGCACATTATCCTTGTTCTGGCCATCCAGATTCCAATATTGCATAACCTAGAAAGAGGTCGGAGGTCGTGGAATTTGTACGCTGTTCTGACCTCCTGGGCTTGAGTTGGATGCCAAAGGTTGTGCCTCAAACATAAAAGGACAATTATAGAACTATACAAAGTTTACATAATCTTTGCTGTGAAGTGCATTTAAAATGTTTCTTGGCTTGATGCAGTAGCCTAGATGCAGAGCTGTTAATTGATTATGGTAATATAGGAATATTAATGTTTATTAAAATTTAAAAAAAATAATAATTGGGCAACTTGTAAGTCAAGTAAAGATGACAGTTTTGTGTTGTATTATTTTTCAGGTCAGTTTTCCTATATAATGCATTGTTTTTAATTCCTAATGCAGATAATTGTTCTCATTTGATTAGTCCTTCCTAATTTTGGTGTGCAGAGTTCCAGAATTAAGCCAAGAATGTATGTTTCCAGTATCAATACAGTGATTTTACTCCAATGCAGGACTACAGTGGTTAAGAAACAAGTGCAAATCTTGACATCCAGTTTTTCATTTAAGTTCTCTAAATAAATTTTAAGGTTACCACCACCTTAACTTGCAGTCTGTTGTCATATGTTTGAGGTTGTGGGTAACTGATGCAGGAACTGGGTGGGGGAAAAAAAACAGAAAAGTATTTGAGATTTTGGGAGATGAGATGTTTCAAATACCCTATTACATTTCCTAAGAATGGTGAATGGGAGAAATTGCCTAGATTATGAGTGTGTGCACTGGTCTTAATCCGTATCTCTCAAGTCATATTTCAGATATTCTGGCAAACAAATATACTGATGTACAGCGAGAGCCCATGTCTTAATTTCTTCACCTGTAGCTCATTGAGGAAAGTATTTTCATTTTAAACAGCACATTGGTCAAGAGTGAAGGATTAAAAATGTTTTATTACAGTTGATTACTTTATAAATTTTGTACATAAAGTATTTACAGTAAATCTGATTAAATGTCTGTAAAATACATATTGGCATGTTGGGATTGAGGCTACTGCATGTCAGCTGTTGATCTGACTAAGAAATGTAAACTGGACTGGTTAGGAATGGTAACCAGGCTGTCTGCTTCATGTCAGTTCTGAATGTTTCAATGGGTTTACTGGCTGATTTTCAGTGCTTTCCTGTGAAATGTTTGAAAAGAACGTGCTCGGGTCTCGGTGAGGGATACAACAGAGAAGCGGTATTTTAAAGGTGCACATTAATGCCCTTTCCTGCTCACTGGATGCTCTCTCGCCTGGGAATGAATGGATGGACCAGTAGTTCTTCTGCTGAAGGTCTTTCTCGTTGATCGCTGCAACGATTAAAATGATTTTAGACGCCATAGGCAATCATGAATGCTCATGTTCTCCAGGACCTGTTATTGTCGTTATTAATCTCGAGTATGACCCTAGGTAAACCTTCTACTTTGGCAACTTTAACATGTTGAAGAACCTGAAGGCCACACCCATCAAGCAAACTGCATTAGTCTGCAGTAAGGTTCTGTTCTCTTCATCCACGCACTTCCTATTGCCACAGCTGTGAGGCACATGGTCTATAGAAGTAGTTCAGGTGTTTAGCTGTGTCGGCATTCGTAGGCTGCAAAGGATCAGGTCATGGGTTTACTCCATGCTGAAGAGAGAAGAAAGAAAACATTTCGGCCGTGAAGCCTGATACCTGAAGAAGGTTCCACGGCCGAAACATGTTTTCTTTCTCCTCTTTTTGGCATGGAGTAAACCCATGACCTGATCCTTTGTGGTCTAAAGAAGGACTTAGGATAGCTGCTCAGGTTTTTGTTTTCATGCGCTGAAGAGTCAGTTTCTACAGGTTAAACATTCAAAAGTGCTGAATACGGTTTTAAAGATTGGATTCTCCATCTAAATTTAACCCGATGGGAATGGGAATTGGGCAATGACAACGCTACAAAATCCCAATCTTGTGCTGTAAAACGCCGCTCACCTCGTCAGACACGCCTGGACGAAATCCCTCGCGTTGCCCGAGAACTCGTGCGGCAGTGCGGGCATGAGGCCCCTTCTCGCCCCGATGTAGAACAGCGCCGCCATCTTGTCCATGTGCGCGAGGGGGGGCTTCCCGGTCGCCATCTCGAACACGGTGCAGCCGATGCTCCAGATGTCCGACTTCCGGCCGTGCCCCGTCTCGGTGATCACCTCGGGAGCCATCCAGTAGGGAGTGCCGTGCGCCGACTTCAGCAGCTCGCTGTTGGCGCCGCTGGTGGTCAGACAGGTCAGGCGCTTGGCGCAGCCGAAGTCGATGAGCTTGATCACCCCGTTGGGCATGAGCATGACGTTGTTGCCCTTGAGGTCTCGGTGAATCACCCGGTTTCCGTGCAGGTACTGCACGCCCTCCAGGATCTGCTTTGTGTAAATGGCAAACACCTTCTCCGGCAGAGGCCCGAAGCGGCTGATGATGCTGGCTATGGATCCTCCTGGGATGTACTCCATGAAGATGCTCACGATGTTTTGTTCGAGGGAGGTTCCCAGGAAGCCCACGATGTTGATATGGTCCAGCGTTTTTAGCAAATCCACTTCATCTTGGAGTTTCTGGTATTCCCTCTCTGCACTGTCTTGATCCTGGTGATCCAAAGTTACTTGCTTCACAGCTATAAGCTGCCCTTGGCTGGTCAGGCCACAGTACACCTGGAAGAAGAGGGAGCAGCAGCAGCACAGTCCTGGTGAAAAAAGGGCAGTTCTCTCTGCCCATGATTGATGGCTTTGTGTCTTTTTTACAGGAAATCCCATGTTACTTAAATTGTCACTTTTTCTCAGAGTAAGATTATAGTAACTTGAAAGTTCAAATCAAAATGAAAACAAACGTTGGCCATCTACAATTACCAACATGTTGCTGAAATCATTCCCTGCCTTATATATATATATTTTTTTTAAGAAAAGGTAGCTTTGTGCCACAATCAAGAAAGTATTTAAAATATTCAAGACATGGAGTGGAGGGCAATGTGGTGATTTAAATTTGCATGACATTTTTATCATAGTCATTTACTGCTATTTTGCTGTCCTTTCTTGGGCCCACTCATCGCTTTTAAAACAACCTTTTTAAAAGCTGGATTACTTACTGTTCCGTAGGAGCCTCTACCGAGAATTTCACCTTTTGTCCACATGATGGCGTCCTCGGTATAAGGTTCAGAGGGGATGGCAGCAATGCTGGATTCCCACCCATTGCACGCAAGGTCCTGTCAAAAATGTGGGCACAGCATGATGATAATCATACACTTTATTTTATATAGCACCTTTAAAAGTGGCTTCTCAAAGCGCTTTACAGAACAGCATGAATCTGAGAACTTTGGCACTGCCGGGAAAGAGAGAATTCTAGTTTTGTTTCCTGTGCTGCTATCTTCAGACACTGCAAATCTTGGAAGATTGAGGTTAAAATGCAGTTTAAGTACTAGATATGCAACTCGTACTTAAAATATTTAAGAATAATTACAAAATAAACTTTTTCCCCTAGGAACTTTAAATAATTATTTTGTGATTCCTGAACTTCACTTCGTAAACCATGTTCTGAGGGGCATATTGCAGTCGCTACAGTAGCTTATCTCTCTTTCCAAACTGCAGCAGAACTTTTGAAGAAGTTTGACAAATTCCAATATAGGGGAATATTATTAATAGCATCTTACAATGAATTGAACTGTTGTGCAATACGATTCTCAGTTCAAAAATGATTCCAGTTTCTAAATCACATATGAAGCCCTAAGGTTTACTGAAAGTAGCAGCCAGGAGCAATAGCACCTTACCTGCTCTGAGAATTGATCCCATTTTCTGTCGGAGAGGTCAGAGTCGGGAATGTGGATACTTTCATCAGGCTGCGTGTCCTTCTCCTCCAGTGAAATGAGCTGCTCAGCCAAACACTGTAGTAACTCATCAGTCAGGTCCCCATCCCCAGCAACATCCAGAAACGTCTTGTACACTGGAGACACTGTTCTGTCACTTTCCGATGTCCAGGTGTTGATTTTTGGCTGACCTGGCAATGAATGGGGATTTATTTCGCCTGGGAGGCGGTTTGTTCCTCTGCTGTGACTGGCATCACAGTCACGCAAGCCCTCTTGAGAGTCCCCAGCAGCGGCTTGTTCTCTTGGGCTTTCTAGGTTGTTAAAGGGGTGGTCAGTTGAGCTTGGTGCTTCATGGTGAAAAACGAGAGTTTTGCTTTCGAGTGGTCTGGGCTGGGTAGTTAGATGTGAAAGGTCCTGTGTTTGGATCTCCTCAATTACTGCCAAAGTGTTACCGTCCTCGTCATCTGCCGGTGCCACGCAGTCTTCTGTTTGTTCCTGAAACACTCCTCCGTGCTCCTCAGTAAGGATCGTCTCATATTTAGATGTCTTGATGTGCCAGTTTCGTCCTGATATAAACACCGTGTTTTCTTCTTCCTCTTCACTGGCCAGTGGCTTGGGGTGTTTCCCTTTACGCAGAACGTCTCTCCTCTTCTTTTGCTTGGCGCCTGCGGAGCTGGGCTTACCCTTGGAGGGTTTCTTTGACCTGCCCTTCTCGGGTGCCTCAGCGACTCTTGTGCTTCTGCGCCCAGGGCTTTTTCCGAGGGTCTGCACCTCCCTGCAGGCCCCCTTCTCTCGCGGTGCAGACACCCTGACGTGGGAGTACACCGGAGTCGCAAACATCTCATAGATCGCCGGCCCTTCGCTCCGCGAGTCTATTTCCTTGAACATGTCGCTGTAGTCAATCTGCAGAAACTCCGCGGAGGACTTGGCTCTTGGACTTGCATGGTTTCCTGATGCCTTGGGCTGCCGGGCGCTCCTGTGGACGCGCGGCAGTGGCTGCTTCATAGCCAGAGGCTCACCGTTCGTGCGATTCTTCCTTTCTGCGGAGGGCGTCTCCGCGCTTAATGTCAACGGCGCGACGTGGCCACTCCGCAGCAGAGGAAGCGGTTTTTCGAGGACATCGATGGGGTTTGCCCTCGGTGAGAATGGTTTTATGGTCCCCTCGCCACCGATGATAAGATTTTGACGTTTTCTCATGTTTACCTTGACTTGTGATGGACAAGACTTGCTTCTAATACTACTTTTGAGCATTTTACCATTCTGAGCCAAAACGTTAAAAGTCTGATTCACATTGAAAGCTAAGGTGTTGATTTTCACTTTGTTCTTGTGAGCTTTGAGGGCTTTTGTCTCTTCTCTTGTCTGCACATCGCTGTCTGAAAGTGTGATGTTCACAACGGGAATTAAGGGTTGCAGTAGCCTGTCACCATCTTCGCTGTCATTGGCATGTGCTTGGTTCATTACTGGAGCCATAACTTTCTCCTCATCTAAATCAGGTCTGCCGGCCTCGCTTGAGAGCCTTTCCAGACACATCGGCTCTCCAGGTTTCACTTGTCTCATGTCAGTCGTGCTTGTTTTTCCCAGGTCTTCTTGTGATGTAAAGCTTTGCAAAGGCTCAGAAGACATTAATTGTCTTAATTCTGTCTGAACTGCCTTTAATCCTTCTTCACACTCGCCTCCTTCCATAGCGTCATGTGATCTGACAAGGTTCTCGTTTTCTGTGATTCCTTCACTGCTCTCTCGTCTGCGAGTAACATCTGGAGGCTTGGTCTCATTGTCCCCATATCCCGGCTCAAAGCACCGGATTTCCGACTCAGTGCTTTCCCTGAAACATGCGGTAAGGAGCTTTCCTGCAGGGACCACGGGCTCATCCTCTTCCACGTCCAGAGACCCCCGAGGGCTGGCACAGCTGGAGCTGCTGTCTTCGCTGCCGGTCCTGGTCGTTGACGAGCCATCGGAGCCTCTTCTGCGGAGCCTTTCCCTTCCGCTCCCGGACACCCTCGGGGACAGAGGCACTAAGATTCTAGGCCGGAATGGCACAGAGCTCTTGGGTCCTGAGCATCCCTTCTCCCTTGCTCTATCCAGAGGGGTAAGGAGCTTTGGAGTCCTTATGGGCTGTCTGGGTAATGTGCCCTGAGAAAGATAAGACGGAGAATTTGAAGGGTCTCCCTGCATTCGGTCTGCAGATTGAGCTGTAGTTCCCAATACAGATCCCTAAACGTTAAGAAGCCCAGCAGCCTGTGTCTCACTTACATTTTTTCCACCCAGACCCTCTTCTGGTTCACTTCCTCCCAGCCCTGCAGAGAAGAGGAGAAAATAAAGTAAAATAAATAAATGGGAATCAGTTCCCCACATTTTAAAAGACTGAAAGTCTTCTGCATCGGATCAGGTGCAAGATTTAGCAGGGTACTTACAGTAGTGACTTAACTGCAGACCTAGTGCAATGCGTAGAAACTGCTGTTGCTCTGTGCTCACCTACTGCAAACTACAACGTTGTCTTTAAGTGCCTCTGGCTGCTAGCTCCTGACATTCTGTCGAGCCTGTGAATGTATCTGTTCAAAAGCAGCAATATCTTTGACCAAATTGTACACAACATTCTATATGATGCCTTACTAGCATGTTATACATTTTTAACGTAACATCCCTTGATTAAAATCTATGCTTTTAAGTTTATATCCTAATATCAGCCATTTTCATATGCAGCCTCTTCAAACTCGGCACTTTCCATGCTGTATTTTTTTGTAGGTTACATTTTCCTACCTGCATATGATGCATTGGACTTGGCTACATTAAATGTAATCTATCAGGTGTTTTACCAAGATTTTATCCCAATCCTTTTAAATTACATTCACTGCTTCTACAGTGTTAAATTGCTTCCCCACATTCTATTAAAAAAATCATTTGCAGCTTCTATAGAATTTGCTAATGTTTCTAGCTTGGTACAGTTCAAATTCCCAGCTAGTTTCTCATCTACAGTATATCAGAAGCTTGATCATTGATAAAAATGAGGAAGAGCAAGTCCTAATAAAAATCCACATGGTACTCTGCTAAGGGCATTACTCCAATCTGACCATTCGCCTCTTATCTGCACTCTTCATTCATCTATCCATTTAGATTCACACATTTCCTTGAATGCCTGTTACTTGTGGTGTGAGAATTAAACTTTTACAAGTAACTTTAGCAAACGACCTCTTTATACCCTTATCTCATGCTGTAAGCTCTGCTTGTGTCCATTACTGCTGTTACTTTCTCAGAGAGTTCAAGGCCCCAGAGATTTGTGTAGCATGTCTCTAATACCCGTAACACCTCCTCCTCTTCTATTGTGTGTATGGTGTGTATTTAAAAAGACGGAGACAGCCCTCACTGTTGTGGATATGGGCTCTGATCTTCAGCAGGGGCTCCATTAGGCTGGGTGCAGACTGGCTCAGGTGTCCCCTCTGCCTCTGCCCACCAGCGTCTCTGACAGGAACCCGCGGGCACTGCCTGCCCTTCAGCTGGCTCCTGTCTGGATCAGAAGCAAACAGCTCGTGCCCGCTGTACCTGACCCACAGGCTTGGCAGAGATGGGCTTTGGCTAGCAAGAAAAGAAGAGAAGCCTAAATGATAACGTTAACTGGGTTTTAATTCAGTACAATAATGTCACATTTGGGAACTGCAAATTAAATGGCATATGTCAGTAAAAAGATTCACTCCGTACCAGTGGCAAAGAGTGAGAGACTAAAAACACAGATTTGTTTAAGATTTTGTGGTTCAGACATGCCAAACAACTGAACTGAGTTCAATAACCCTAACATTTTGTAGACATCACAGGGTCCACAAAAGGGAATTTCTAGATTTTTCTTTTTGCCCCGTCCTTTCTGCGCAAACACAGCACGGGGAGTAACGCTTAGAGACCGGGAGCAGGAGCCGAAGGGCTCTCTCACGGTTCCTGTGAGAACAGAAGAGACAGAAGTCCATTTCACTGGGGATGACAGCGCTCTCTCAGCAGCGTCTCGCTGGCCCCCGGGCCTGGCTCTTCGCTGCGGCTCGAGCAGTGCAGCCCCGCGGAGAGGCCAGGAGGAGAGCGGCCCTCACCTGCTGCTCTCCTCCATCTCTCGGTACGATTGGCTCATGTCCTGCAGCGTTTTAGCAGCAGCCCGAAACTGAAGCAGGATCCCTTGATCTGCAAGAAAAGAAGAAGGATCAGCATTCACTGGAACTAAATGACTGTGATTCACATCCTGTCTGTGCTTCTCCCTCAGTTCAGGAACCTTTCCACAGAATGAAAACAGCGACAAAACGTGATAACCTGATACCTTGATAAAGTTACGCGATAACAAGATAAAGATACCATGTTAAAGTTAGCATAACTGTGGTGTGCCTTGCTGTATACATGGTTATGCATAGATGTTAAATAATACTATTGAGATTTACAATGGCTGTTTTCTTCTTGTGGTCATTTTTAATTTTACAGAGCAGATAACTAATATTTTTTCACTGTTTCATTGGCACAATATTAAAGAAAGCAGGACAATGCATTTAAGCATTTAAGTTTGTATAAAAAGGTATTATTATAAACTGAGAAAGATTGGATTACAGCACTGGGTTTCCAATCACTGACTCTCACCTACGGTAGCTCCATGAACTCCTAAAACAGGTTTCAAGAGATTAAAAATCGCAGCCCCAACCAGTGAAGCAGAGCACTAGTTAATCAGCGGCGCAGTATCAGTAATTGATACAAAACAAGATGCAAAAAGAATGATTGTATAGAAAGGGTAACAATAGATACATGTTCTGCCTAAATCCAGAAAAGGAGTTTTAGCTCAGTACATACGTCAGTTGCGATAAGACAGAAAAAAGCCCCCTACCTCCCTGGTCTCTGTGTAACAATAGGCAGTCGCAAACAAGTCCGACAACATCCCAGCTGAAAGGTTTTGTCCTTTGGCTACGTGAGTGTACAGTGGCCCAGCTGAAGCGCCGATCAGTTCAATAATTACAGTGCTGGCTTTGTGTCAGGGTGCCTGGTGTGGTGACTAGGCAGGAGGAGTGTCTGCTTACAGGCAGAGCGGAGGAGCTCTCAGGGGGTCAGTGCCAGGTTTGCCTTTCATTCTCCGGGGCGCAGAAACATGACCCCACCCCCCGCGCCGCAGCTCTCAGGGCGAACTGACGGACTGTTTTGTATGCATGTGGGAGAACGTGAGGGCTGTTCCTGCTGCAACTTTGTGTTTCTCTTTAGAACACGAACATGAGAGAATGCTGTCTGGCCACTTCAACAGTATTAAAGAGACTTTGGCATTGTTTGCTGTGCAATTACACCCGCTTGTGCTTTCCACAGTTTAAGCCTTCACCGCTATCTTTTATCTACACAAATAATGGCTTTAGCATTTTAGCAGACACAGGTCATAGGTATACAGTTTCTCAAAAAGAGTAGGGGTGTTACCCTGGTGCCCTGGCCAAATTTCCCCCTGGCCTTTACCAGTCATGGCCTCCTAATAATCCCCATCTCTGAACTGGCTTCATCACTCTGCTCTCCTCCCCACTGATAGCTGATGTGTGGTGAGCGTACTGGTGCACTATGGCTGCCGTAACATCATTCAGGTGGGGCTACACATTGGTGGTGATGTAGGGGATCCCCATTACCTGTAAAGCACTTTGAGTGGAGTGTCCAGAAAGGTGCCGTATAAGCGTAAGGAATTACATATTCGTATACAATTAACATGTCTGGAAAACAGATATTGAAGTTCCCATACTAACCTCCTCTGCACGTACTCCTTTTAGGGCAAAAAGTGGACTCGGAGGGCTCGCCCAGGTCCTGAAAGGAAGAAAAGGAGTTTGAAAATAAACTTTACATCCTTAATTTAAGTGATCTTGCAGCGTTTTTTCCTCCAGATTTGCACTTTATGAAAACGGCTTCAATAAGCACTTGAATTTAAAGAATAGATTAACTGATTATGGGCCATTTTAGCAGCGCACCATTTCAGAAGTGTTCAGTCAAGGGCCAGTGGTCTTTGCTTGGTTCACGCTCATAATTAAGCCGTCAGTCCCAGGGGGTGTTAAAATATTTAAACTGTTCCCTCAGGTGTCCTACCACACTTGCCTTCCATCTCTCATTGTGGCTGGCCTAGCATTAGCTAATGCATCTTGTGCCAGCCATCTGTTTTAATTCAGACTGCACGGTGGTCATTAACCACAGACCATCTGCTCTCCCGAACACCATCCTGCCCTTCGGAGTTCAGAGGACAAACGCGGGATTCAGATGGAGCTAAACACCTGATCCTCGGCAGATTCACTACCTCCCCCGTACACAATGAACAGACCCACTAGTTCCCCTTTTTAACTCATTCGACTGCTCTCTTTCCTGCTTCGTTGTTCACTAACTGAACGGGCGCGTTGCTGTAATAATGCAACTGACATCAGAGGTGCAGCACTGTTACACATCAAGCACAAAGCACTCCTCCCAAACGGCCTGCTGTCTCACTTCTGGGCAGGAGATGCCCTGCACGGCGGGGCTGTGCTGTGAGGCGAGGAGGGCGGAGGTCCTGTCTTCCCCACCGGCGCTCTCGCTGTCCTGGAGGGAATCGTCGGCTGTGAAAGAGGGAAGATCTCTGGGAGCTACCCAAACACCTGGAGCTCCATGATTAATGTCTCACGGAAGACACATTGTAATCCATCAACAAGAGAACAGTGAATTTGTGGTTGGTGGGATTATATACCGCTTTTCAATGCACAGTTGCATTGGATGTTACTACTGTTGGGCCTTTACAGTTCTCTCACATTACTGAGAGGAGAGTCTTTATTTAATTAAAGCTCATTGACGACAACAAAGCCATTAATAACTGGTGGATACAGGGGTCTGAAGAAAAAATAAAATACAATAATCCAAAAAGGCAAGATCTTCTATGGAAGTAGCCATTAAAGATTGAGTTCCACCATCATCTTAGTGTCGCTGGGTAGTTTTGTTTAGAGATACATCTGTTTTTCAGTTTCCTTTAGTCTGAAAATACCGCGCACAAGTGATAGCTCAAATTAAAAACATGACTCTCCCTAAAACCTCACTTGAAAAACATCACAAAGCAGCCTTTACTTCACTAGTAAGACAAAAGGTGGACATCACATAGTCGGACAAACAGATGCGAACAACCCTCTCATTTTCTCAGGAGAAGTTTGGCAATGGCGCGTTCGCTCCCACACACCTGTGTCCACCAGCAGCTCGAGCAGTTCCTCCTTCAGTCCATGCCTCAGCTGAGACACGCAGTGCAGGCCTGACTGACCATCACACAGGCTGGGGTCACTGCAGGGGCAGAGGTCAGACTGGTTGAACTAAGAGCAGGGCGCTGTTATAAAGCTGCACCTATCCACACCACCTGATGTATATTAAAGACAACAGATTAATACATTAAAATAATAAATATTAATTTTAATAACTATACCTTGGAACTATAGAGCACTTGTACGAGATTATTATATGAGGTTGGCACTAGAATGATAGCTGTTTCTTTGTGTGTTACTTAATAAACGTCGGCAAAAGCACTATTTCCAGTATGTCCACATGCAGCAGAGTGTGTGAGGTGTATATGAAAGAGTCAAGTTTGACATTGTGAGTGAGACAAATCTTTGGAAAAGCCATGAAGCTCAGCAGTTGACGAGTAATATATGACAATATAAAAATATAAAACAATAGTTTTGGTCTTATTAATTTTTTAGAGATGTTTTGGAAAGCTCTTTGAGTTAGCACACGCAAAAGGTCTGAGGGAGATTTAAAAGGTACTGTGTTACTCTCCTCTTAGGCTCAGTAACCTTGGCAGGTACGGGACCGGTCCCTGTGAATTAAATGAAAGTCCTGTGGGGAAAGCCAGGGGAGACTGCAGGTGTGGACAAGCACATGTGCGATAACCTCGGTTGTCTTCGGAAATTATTTTTAAGAGTTCCTTTGCACATCCAGGTGG